CTTTCCTTCCATCCTGAACATCCTAGTTCTGAATCTCTCAGTGGACTTTTTTTGCTGAATAACCAACCCTGGCCTTGTCTGGCCCTGCTGTCCCAATCTCAGTAACAGAGCTGGCCTCACACGACCTGTAGAGTCCCAGAAGGCCACACACTCAGAAAGGTTCTGTGCTTGGATTGATGCTCTGCTGTCACTATCTTGGGATCCCTAAAAAACTGAATAACAACACAACAGCTTTCACGATAAGCTTTAATTTATAATGCACAGTCAATGCAATGCCCAGTGCATTGGGACCAGAAGCATGGGGAGGGCACAGGCTGTGTCTGTCTCACTTAGTGGCTTGGAACTGGTGCCTCAGACATGCCTGTCACATGATAGGTATGCACTAAATGTTTGAAGAATAATTGCATGTATCAATAGGTTGTTCATGTGATTCATATAGCTATGGAGGAACAGGCTCGGAGCAGAACTTACTTGTTCAGTGATTCCCCTTCATGAACTTAGTGAAATGTCCTCCATAGAATTACTTATGAGATGCCAGAACACGTGTTTGCAGCACACATGGAAAATTTGGAAAACTGATTTATGCCGATTATCATCTCAGAGACAGGCGTGACTTCAATTTAATTAGTAGGGGTTTTTATCTAGCAATTCCATATCTTATTAAATTGGCACTTGAACAAGAGATTTGCATTTTAAATACCTGTCACAGTGCTGAAAACTTCTCTCCCGACACTAGATTTGTATAAAGTCAGTAGAACCTGTACTTTTATGCCAATAGCTTGAGCTCAGGTGGTGCAAGATGAGAATCAAACATTAGGACGAAGATGAGAAGTGACCCTATTGCTGACTCAGGTTCCTCCCTCAGACCCTCGAGGGTAGCTCTTCCCTGTACCAGGCTCAGAAAAGTGGCATCATGCTGCTCTTGGCTCCTTTGGATAGTGCTTAGGAATGTCTCCTTTTGTTTTTCTTTTCATATTTATTTTTTACAAAAAATCCAGAGTGGATCAAAAAGAACAATCAAGGATACTGCTGTGCCAGGGTGTACATGGGATCCTTCAATTAGGAATGTCCTCTGCATCCCTTCATCAGTGACACTGGGGAGCAAATGTCAAAGGCAGCCAGATCTGTCCCACCTGTTGGGGAGTCGCTGCCTAAGCCTTCCCAGGCATTTCCGTTTAGGAAGCCCTGTGATGTCATAGTGTCCAGGTGATGTCATCAGAACCTTAATAATCAAGACCCAAAGGGGTAGAGGAAATTGAGCACCTAGGAGGTTTGATTGTATGGATATTGGCGCAGCAATTGTGTTGGGACATAAAGATTGGTTGGGCAGTCAGTTCTGTTCTTTCTTGCATTTTAGGGTGAATCAAACGCTACCTGGTGCTTGACTGAGGCCAGATGCTTCTAGAAGGGCATGTTAAATTTTAAAGAGTGATTTTTATAATAACATCATACTAAGAAGATTACTTTATGAGATTACTCTAGGGTTACTTAATCTTGGCACCATTGACATCTTGGGCCAGACAATTCTTTGTTGTGTGGGTTGTCCTGGGCATTGTTGGATGGTTAGCAGCATCTCTGGCCTCTACCTACTAGTACCCTCCCATTTGTCTTGTCCCCTGTAGGACAAAAGTGCCCTTGGCTGAGGGTCACTAGATGACTATCAAGTTACCATTGAACTAGTTGGGACAATCTGATCCAATATATAAATGTTATTTTTCTCATAACTCTCAATATGTAAAGTGCAGCCAACATATAACATTTTTGTATCTGAGAAACGTATCCATTCAGGAACTGTTGAACATCTACTATGTACCATGTGCTGGGGACACAACGTGTACAAAGGGCGGAGAGGGTACTGCTCTCATGGAATTTGCATTAGAAGGGGACTGAATAACTAAAAATGCCAGATATCAGGAAGTGCCATGAAGAGCATAAAGAAGGGTTTGGAAGGTCAATGCTAGGGTGTGCATTCCAGGAAGGCCTCTGCTGAGACCCACGTGACAAGAAGGATTCAACCAGATTAAAATCTGGAGACAGACGCTCCAAGCAGAGGTTCTAGGCCCTGTTTCAGAGGGAACAACAAGTTCTAAGGCCCTGAGGCAGGAGTAAGCATGGCGTTCACAGAGAAGGCAGACCAGCCTGGCCGAGACAGAGTGAGGAAGGGCTACCGTGGTCCAGAGTGAGCACAGCCAGGCCACATAGGGCTTCATAGACTAAGGGTGGGAGCTTGAGTCCAAGGGCAATGGAGAGCCCTCCAAGGGTTTGCAGTAGCGGACAGATGTGATTGGACTTGGATCTTGGAAAAAATCACTCTGGCTGTGGTATGAAGAATAGACTGTTGGGGGGATGTGCAATGGCAAATCAGGAAGATTAATCAGGTGGCCAGGCAGGATGAGGAGTCAAAGCTGTTATTTTGGGCAAAGGCAGCAGCAGTGGAGATGGAGAGGAGTAGATGGATTCTGGCTATATGGGTGCGGGATACTTTAAAAAATCCCCTAAACAAAACAACAAAACCCCCTTACATTTCAATAGCACTACCATTAACTGCCTATTGTTTTTACTTCCCGATTCCATCAGCGTATGAGTGCCAGTTTGGAGGTGGGGGTGGTTTATCACCCACACTTTGCTGAGGGAAGGAACCGGCTGCCCCAGGCTCCCAGCCTTATCTCAGCGCTCCTGATGCCTCAGTGGTCAGTCTTCAGGGACGGGAAAGAAATGAAAGACCAGAAAGAGTATGGAGGCAAAACCACATGTGTTTAGTGGATCTCCACACACCACGGTTTAGCAGAGTGCCTGACACAGGACAGAGCCTTACAAAATGTCTTTTGAGTGAATGAATGAATGAATGGAGAGAAGGTTGAGGGAAACTAATCATTCAGGCTACCCTGATGGGTACTGGGCTGGCTGTTGGGTTCTTTACTCCAGTTCCAGTAACCTAGAAGGTACCTGTTATTATTCCCAGGCTCAGAGTGAGGAAACTGAGGCTGGGGGAGGTTGAGGAATTTGTCCAAGAAAAGTCACACGTTAAGCTGGGATTCCTTTTGGGCTGTCAGATTCCAAAGCCTGTATTCAATTGCTACATTACTTCCGAAGAGAAATATCCTCTGAGAGAGGGAGGGAGAGAGGGAAGGAGGAAGAAATGAGAGAGAGAGAGAGAGAGAGAGAAAGAAAGAAAGAGAGAGAGAGGAGAGGGGAGAGAGGGAGAATGAGAGGAGCGAAAACGAGGAGATCCAGGACTCGCTGGGCTGGATGACTTGAGCCCAGCTCCTGTCTCTTCTCCATCTCCCCAATGCTTTCTAAGACAAAGCTGCCACCTCTTTGCTCACCCACCCCAATGCTCAAGGGGAGGTGATCGGAAAGGGCCACCATTCCGCTGCCCTGCGGTTCCTTCACTGATTGACAAGACCAGTTAGTTTTATGGCCTTTCCACACTCGGGAGGCAGCCCTCTTGCCTGCGAAGCACCCAGCCACCCTTTAATGAGCCGCTGCTCTGGTCTGTCCTTGTACACTCCATCCCTCCAGCCCTCTCCCAATTTATGGAGGCCACAGGGCACGTTGCCCTGGTGGAAGAGAATAGGGATGGGCTGTGAGTGGGCTGGAGAGAAGAGCCAGTGCACTTAGCTTTAAGGAAACTACGTTTTCTACTCGTCAGCGCTCTGGTACTTCTCACCGTAAGGGAATGTGAGAAAGTTTGGGTTGGTCTGTATATGTGTGTGTGTGTGTGCGGCAGGGGGGGGGGTGGTCACTGGGAAAGATGGTAAATGGTTGATTTTTCTCCTGCACATTGGGGCCCACACTTTAGGGACTGGTGTGGTTTAAGGCAAGTGAGAGGGTCTGCTCATCAGGACGTTGAGTCCCATGCTGTGAGCCCTGAGTGTCCCTAGTACCATTTCTGGAGTAACCTGGGCTTGGTTTCCCACACCATCCTGTCAACGTAGAGTCACTACAGAGCCTTTGTGAGCCTCAGTTTCCTTATTGGTAAAGTGGGGTGTCGCCGTCTGTTAATGCTGCTATAACAGAATCCCACAGACTGGGCAGCTTATACACAACAGAAACATTTGTTAGGGCAGCTGGAGCTGACCAAGACAGCTGGTCTGGCACTCCTGGTCAGACAAGCTCCCGAGGGCACGGACCAGCCTGCAGTGAGTATGTCCTCTTCCTGACGCAGCGCGTGGATATGGTGCCATTCTCAGCGTGAATGTCTGACTTCTGCTGGACGAAAAGGCCTGCTCCTATAGGACCCTCTGGTCATGGCTACATGATGATGGGCCATTTTTCTGCCCCCTTACCCTCTGGTAGGGTCATAAGATAAAGTTACAGGATGCCAAGTTAAAGCTGAATTTCCGATAAACAACAAATATGGAAGGGATTTTAGCATAGTAGATCCCAAATATTGCACAGGACATACATTAGAAAATTATTTGTTGTTAACTGGAAATGTAAATTTAACCAAGCATCCTGTTTTAATTTTTGGCTAAATCTAGCAATTGCACTCTCTGGTCTTTTTACAGAAGGTTCCGAGAGCAAAGCTCTTGACCTAGAGCACTGGTTCTGAGTGCTCCAGCAACTCCTAGTTCAGAACAGAAAATCTCAGGCTGAGCCCACACTTCTGGGACCAGAAGCTCTGAGTGCTGGGAGCCGTGATTTGAGGACCATTATCCTAGAGAATGGATGCTGATGGTGGGAGATTCCAGCCTCCCCCCACCGCTACCCGAGACCCTCGCAAACACTTTCTAATCCGCTTCCTCAGAGGATGGGACTCAGCTATGACATAAATGATACCAGGGATGTTACAATCTCTTTCCTTCGTTTTCTGTGCCTCCAGATAAGACTGCCGAGGAACGTCCTTTCAGCTTGGCCCCAGGGCTCTGTTCCACCCGCCCCATCTGCTCCTCAGCCTGCAGAGGCTGTGAACCAGAGAATTGATCTTCCCGGCAGGATCTGCCAGTCACAGCGGGGCGGGGCGGGGCCTGGTGGGCGGAGGGACACGTGTGCGGGGAGGGAAGCAGGAAGTGACTTCGGGAGCGGAGCCGGCGCGCGAGCGGCAGCGGGGGCTGATGGAAGTGGAGTGGGGGCTTGAGAGGGCACCGTAGTGAGTCGGCTTTTCTCTCCTTCAGCGCCTTCGGTTGGGCTGGAGGCCCGGGGTCCGGGGCCATCAGAACAAGAGTGTGGGACTTGGAAGGGCAACATGGAGTTTGGAAGGGAGTGCCCAGGGACAGGAGGGGGTCGGAGGGGGAAGCCGGGCGGCTTCGGCAGGTGGCCGAGAAGGGAGAAGGGCCCCTCGCCCCGCGCCGCCCCTCCCAGGCAAGCTGGAGGGTGTCGACTTGTCTCCCTTTGACAGTGGTTCTCCAAGAGTCTCTTCATTCAGCGCTCTGTGGAGGACGTTTGGGGACCCTGGAGCCCTGGGAACGAGGTGGTTACAACCCCAGCCGCTCTGTGTCCCCTCCCCCTGGCTCTGGGGGTCAGCAGGGCCTCTGGAACTTGACTGGGAATCTGGTTAAGATGCAGCAGGCCCGAGATTGTGCATGTCCAACCAATGCCAGGTCTGCGGACCACACTTGAGGAGCGAGGCACTGGAGAACTTTTACATAGCCGCAGCAGCCCAGATCCGAATCATTTTTCTGGGTTCCCTGGTGGAGTCAGGGCCTGAGTGTGCACTTGCCTTACGTGCTGTTTCCACTCTGCAGCTTCATCAACATCTTGCAGCTGACTCTTGGAAGCACAGCCAAGGGTATGAAAGGGAGAGAAAGGAAAGAAAACCTGGATCAGCCAGGGACCCCTCAGGTGCTGCTGTAATAGAGCCTGCACCTGTGGGTGGTGTTGGCCTCTTCGAAGTTGGAGTGAGCAGAGAATAACGCCTTTCCCCCTTGCAATCTAATCAAGGTTTATGTATTAACACCCAGCTCAGGAGGAAGTCTGGGCCCCATTGTGAAAGCTGCTTTTGAGGTGCAGGGGCTGCTGATTCCTGTCCCCACAGGGCTACTGGAGAAAACTCTTTTCTTGGGACTCTGCCCTGGCCTTGCCCGTCCCTCACGGGGCAGGGGAATCACCCTCTAAGTTCTAGGTCTTGTCGAAGTTGTTCTAGTTTTAGACCAGAGCTTTCCACTTTATGTGCGTTAGACTCCCCCTTGGGACTTGATATAATGCTGATTCTGATTCAACAAGCTTGGGGTGGGACCTGAGATTCTGCATTTCTAACTGGCTCCCAAGGGGGACTGGCGCTAATTCTCAGACTCCCCCTTTTAAGACAGCAAAGGGAAGAAACTTCCCCAAGAGGTGCTGGTGTGGTGTGGCCAAGGATGAATGCTGCAGCTGTTGGGATGGGGGCCTTGGTTTTCCCTGGGTGCCCCTTTACGTCTCAGGGTGCTAGGCTGTAAATGGACAGGCTTAGAAGAGTGTGTGTCCTCCAACCAGCCCCCACCAACACCCACATGCTCCCAAAACCAAATGTACTTCGACTTTGGCCTTCTGGCAAATGCAAATGGTTTCCTCTTTTCTGTAACTGTTAAAAGGCACATTCAATACTGCTTTTTTGTATTTGTTTTAATGACCCACCTTGGATGATAAATACTAAAAGGATGATAGCTCTGGGCCTTTCTTTGTAAATGCTGTTTGAAATTTTATCCACAAGCAGTGAGACATAAAAGGTGGGTGTCATGATCCAGATGTCTGGTTTTAAAAACAAACACGAACCACTCTTTTTAAGGTGACTTAACAGGATGAGGTTTGTAAAAGGGTGTTTTGTTTTTTTTTAATCATTTTTTTTTCTTTATTTGGTGCAGTCACTATCCTGAGTTCCATTTAGATTATGGGGACACAGTCTGAATCCATAGACGCTGACTGTCTTAGAGGTTTCCTGGCACTGGGGTCGAGCGTGGGCTCACCTGGCCACACCTGACCTCACCTGGCCTTACCTGGGTTCACCTGGACCCACAGCCTTCCTAGGTTTGAGTCCTGAGCCCGATGGCCTGAGGGCCCCTCACACCCTCTGTCACTGTTTCCTTCCAGGGTCGATAGAGAGAGCCAGCGTCTTTAGCCCAGGTTGCTGGCTGCTCATAGAGCTCTGAGGCCTGGCAGGGCCAAGCCCAGTGGGGCCGTGTCCAGCCCTGTGGGTGCTGGACAACCAGCGAGGAGCTGAATGGGCCCTTTGAGATGAGGAGGCCCTGGGCCCCGATGTTTGTGTACCAGACACAGGGCTTTTCAACAGACAGGTTTCTCTGCCCTGTAATTTTCCACAGCGAGAGCCTAATTCCCTATCATTTTAGACCTAGGATTTAAAACATGTTCAAGGCTGGAGGGAGCCGTCTGAGCAAAACAAGAGGGGATGGCCCTCCTGTTATCATGCTCAGTGGGCAGTGGTGTAACTTCAGCTTCAGCAGTTGCTGAGGGGCATCTTGAATAGCTCTGTTTCCTTGTGCTCGCTGAGTGTCCTATCAAGGTAAGCTGTCCAAGGTGTCACAAATATTTCAGCAAGCATTTTTTTTTGGGGCCAGAAGCCCTGCGTACTGGGATGCCAAATAAGAAAAAGCATCATTCCTGTTCTTAACGGACTAATGATGTGAAAGTTGAAGGAGGCAAGCCCATGCAAAAAAGGCACCAAAGATGTGTGCATGTACAGGGACTGGCGTGGAGAGGGATCGGAAAGCATGGAATCAAAGTTGGCATAAGCTGGCATTAGGTGGGCAACAGGGTGTCCTGGATCGGATGGCTGGAGGCTGGGAAGGAAGGTAGTCTGGGAAGGAACTGTGTGAAGAGAGACTTGGAGCAGGACCATGCGGGGCTTGTCCCAAGTGCCATCAGTAATCCGGTTGAGTTGGTGCCCACTTAAGGCATAGTGGTAGTGGAGACACAGGCTTAAATTGTTGCCGGGCTAGCTGAAGGGCAGTTGTGGAGTACGCCCTTGGCAGGCCGTGGGAGCTTCCACGGGGAGCTATTGAAAGTTGGATCAGGACTCAGGTGGATAAGTTTCAAGAGGGAACCTGAGTTAGTCACCAGTATTTCGAGAAAATGGGTGATGATTGGCAGGGGCAGGAAGAATAGGGAAAAGGGAGGAAGGCTGCAATCAGACTTTCTCCTTTGAGCTTCTCTCTGGAACTATTTCCTGATGTTGTAACCTCTTTCATGGTGTCTTCTCCTCTGGTGTCTCCCTAGGTTTCCCCACATCTCTCCTTCCAGAATTAGATGATTTCACAGAGGGATGGCATGGTGGAAAGGTTCATAGACCAACCCAGACACAGGCCAGCTCAGGTGCAGTGGGTTAGACACCTTAGAACATGTGAGTGTCACCAACGGGGACCCCCGCACTGACCCGCTCTCGCTCCTCTGCACACAGCCGTATTCAGCATGCTCCAAGGCTACAGCACCGTGTTCCAGGCCTTGCTGGGGACCTTCTTCACCTGGGGGATGACGGCAGCTGGGGCGGCTCTTGTGTTCGTATTCTCTAGTGGACAGGTGAGTTGTCTTGATTTGGTTCTGGGAGTTGGTGGGGTCTCAACAGGCTCTGAAACATCTCCGCTCTGCCCAGCAGGGTGGCAGACTCTTGAATGCCACTGGCCACGCCTCCAGGTTGTGAGTTACATTTGTCCTCTGTCCTCTCATTTGCTCCCCTTCCCCCTACCAGGCCTGGAGAGCAGGTGTCTATAGCACCCTCACCACCTGCTTCTCCTCTCCTGATCCCAAGGGAGCAGGGGTGAGAAGCCCAGTGGTTCAGCCTCCCAAAGCCCCTGCCCAATTTCTGTCTCCTGTCCAGTCCCTTTAGTGCCCGGGCTGATGTGTGTGGCTGAATAACGATAGGTTTGGGGTGTAACTTGCCCTGAGTTAGCTGGGATGATTAGAGAGACTTGGGGGGAAAGAAGGGTGTCTGTTCCCTCTCTTTTACTCCAAATGCGGGGCTCTTCATTTCTTCCTCCACCCCCTTTGTGATAAATACACTCAGACCCAACACCTGCCCACCCCACCTCCACCCACCTTTACTCATCCTTATACCCCAGCACACCCATGCACCCCTGTGTCTCCCATGCCCCCACATCTGCCCTTCCCCCCTCCCCTACACCCTTCCTACACAGTCCACACATGCTGCCACACTCCCACCCCTCCACACATACGCCCACCCCACTCCCAGCCCCCCCCCCCCCACTCCACATATACCATCCCTCTCCTTCTGGGCTTGAAATTCCTTACTGTTCTTCAGCCCTGGACTCCCTCCATCCCCAGGCCCAGAGTGGTCCATGGATAACTTGATGAACGCAGCCTTAGAAATTGTAGGAGTGCCAAGCGAGTGATTTAAGATCTCGTCAAACATGCTGTGAGGCATATCTGGAAACTAAAACGCGTCTAGGAAGTTGGCAAGCTTGTTACTGTTGTGTCAGAGACCAGTAAAGCAGGTATCGGTGTCAGCGATAAGATCAGACCTCCCCAACTCTGCTCTCCTCCGTCCTCAGTGGGGGTTTGGAGGCTGTCAGGGACTTGGAACTCAAGACACACAACCCCCAGCCCAGGCTACTGTCCACAGGGAGTCAAGACATACAGTACCCAGTCCCTGAATGAGAGACACCCCAGAGACAGAGGAGAGGACCCCAGGTTCCCTGACCCCCTCTTTCATTACAGCTATACCAGGTTTCCCGGGGTCCTGTTCTCGTCCCCTTCTGGGGGAGAGCAGCCCACGTTTTCTCCTTTACCAAATTCTTTTGCTTTGAGAAGGAAAGGTCTGGCTTGCCCTGGCTGGGGTCTGGCTGGCCTTTGAGAGCTGGTTTAAGTGCAGTACCGTGGTGAGTGGAACCTTATAGCCCCATGTGGCCCTGGCCAGTGCGGTGGGGCTCCTCAGGAGTGGGGAGCCATCCCAGAGGGGCCCCCTTCCCCTTTGGGGCTGGCTGGGTACCCAGCTCGGGAGGAGGAACTGCTGAGACCTTTCCCTATGTAGAGACCGTATGGGGGTCCTGAAGACCACCGACACATCTGCTGATTCATTAGAGGGACCCACAGGACTCAGCGTGTAGTCGTCCCCACGCCTAAGGTCTTTTACAGTGAAAGGACACACAACAGAGGCAGCAAGGAAAAGGCAGGCAGAGTGTGGAGAAGTGTGTGCACAGGCTTCTGAAGCCCCCGCCCTCCTGTGGGTCCTCCCCAGCACCATGGTGATGTGTCTGCCCAGGGGTGCCCATTAGAGACTCTGGTTTTTATGGGTGCTGGCTGCTGCTACTACACACATTGCAGACTTGCAGAGGGAAAGCAGGTGTCCTGCATAAATTGCAGCGTGTGTAAAACAGGCGTGGTGACCCATCCTTATCAGTTCAGAAAAGGAGGGAGCAGTTGCAGTTCCAGGTTCCCAGAGGTGGGCCAGGTGACCAGCCTCGAAAGCAGGACCTTCCAAAGAGCAGGCTCAGGGGCGCTGTGTTAACCCTTCCTGCACAGGAGGTGTGTGTGAGAAGGGGAAAGGGGCACGGCCTGGGGCGACAAAGGCCACAGTAGATGCGTGTCCCAGAGGTGTGCTCTGTCCCCCCGGAGCTCCGTTTTCACCCAGCTGAAATGGGGGCTGCAGGGAGGGTCACTTGAAATAGGAGACACTCAGACACCTGTCCTCTATTGTCAGCGTTGGTGTAGCTTCACTCAGGATTGGTTTTCCTGACTTAAAAGAATGTTTTAATTCTAGGGAACTTGTAAAATATGGAAAAGCTTAAAGAAGCCATTTAAAAATTTTCTAGTCTACTTTTCAGAAAGGAAAAAAAATTTGTTCAAATTTGTTCAGTTGCATTTGAGTATGCATAAGTATATACATGTCTATTTTCTTTACATAGTAGGAGTCAAATGTCATGTCATGTTTTATAACCAGCTTTTCTCAGTTGATATCAAAAGCATCCCCTATATCCCTAAATGGTTTTTTGATTACTTTGATTATTTTGATTACTTGGATGACTTATATGGCTATATAATATACTGTCATAAAGATGTACTGAAATTTACCTCTCCACTACCCAACTGCTGGACAATTAGGTTATGCCCTTTTTTTGTGCTTTTAGAAATAGTGTCACAATGAACACAAATCTTTGAGCACATATCTGATTAGTTCCTTGAAATAAATGTCTAAAAGTGGAATAACAGATGTAGTGACCTTAGGGAAAAGTAAACTGTTTTTTCTCCTCTGAAGATCCAGATGAAGGCTGATAGGATGATTTTACCTGACTTCTTTCTTATATCTGTCTGCCTTGATTAAATTAGTTGGTTAGATTAAAGTGGCTTACGTCATGGCGTGCCCAGAGAAGAGTGTCGTTTGTGTGGCTCACGGCGGTCACTCAGAGTGGGGAAGAGGCTGCCTTGGCTGGAGATGGCCGACCTGGTGGCTCCAGCCACCTGGACCTCAGTCTCACAGATCAGATGACCGATCCGTCAAAATGCCTGTAATGTGCTCACATGGCTATAGATTATATCCCTAATTTAGGCCACTTCTTTAAAAAAAAAACTTTTGACTGAAAATATAAGATGCATATAGAAAAAGCACATTTTATAAGTGTACAGCCTGGTAATTTTTCACAAATGCCCATGAAAATACAATAGTATCCAGATCAAGCACTAGAACAGTGGCAGCGGTCCCCCCATCTGCACCTCCCCGCCCCCGGCCCGAACAGCTCTTTCAGGTTCTCTTTCAATCACAACCCACACCCCAACCACCAATGAAAGGCAATCCCTCTCCTGGTCTCTGGCAGCAGAAAGTAGTTTTCTCTGTTTTTATACATGATGTTAATGGAATAATCATATAGTGTATGCCCTTTGGTGTTTGGCTGATTTCACCCTATTTATGTTGCAGTTTACCCCTGCCTGATTGTGAGCTCCATTCGTATGTATTTTGTGTGTGTTCTCCTTGCCATATGGTATTCTGCTTTATGAATATATCCTAACTGATGTATTCACATGGGTAGTTTCTAGTTTTTTTGGTGCTCACCAACAGTACTCCTAAGAGCATTTCTGTACATGTGTCTTTGGTGAAGTCATGTATGTGTTGCTGTTAGGTAATTGCTCAGGAATGGCACTGCTGGGTCATAGGCTGTGCCTGTGGTCACTTCCAGTGGCTTTGCCAGTTTGCACCCCCACCGGCAGCGTGGGAGGGTTTTGATTGGTCTGCATGCTCCTCACCAGCACTTGTCAAATTTCCATCTTTTAGGCCAGCTGCTTGCCAAAGGTTCATAGTCATAATTCACAGAGAAAGTGAGAGGCAGCACGTGGGCCAATGCAGGCCGTGCACCACACTGAGAGAAGATGCTGATCGGAGGTGGGATGGATGGAAGGTTAAAAAAATTTTGTTCTCCTGATTTTTTGGCGCATTTTATAAAGGCTCGGATCCAGGCTTCCTAGCAAATTTGAAAACTCCGGTGTGGTCCAGCCTTTATTCATGTGGCTGCCTTAGGGGTAATGGCTTTCTCTCACTCTGGGAAGTATCCCTTAGAAACTGAAACATCCTATTTTCATTTTCAGAGGCGGATCCTAGATGGAAGTCTTGGTTTTGCTGCGGGGGTAAGTAGCATGTTATAGGGGGAATATAAACTGAGACATGGTTACTCTGATATTTCTCTGCTGCAGTGTATTTCCAGTCTCTCCCCATGTGACCAGGATGCATCTCTGATGTGCAGGTGCTAAGGGCTCCCCTTTTTCACCAACCCTGTTTATTTCCAGTGTATTTAATGCCCCTGCCTCTTTTTAGATGATGAAAGAGGCTTGTTGGGCAGCTGCCTGAGGACTTGTAAAATGAAATAATATTTAGGAAGGGCCTACCACAGGTCTTTGTTGGCACGAATTAAACTTCCCTTTCTCGTTCCTCTTCCCTTGTAAAAGACCTTTGTTATAGGCATTTATAAACATGTAAAAAAGTAGAGAGAATTCTATGATGCACTTCAGGTACCCGCCACCCGGCTTCAATCACTATTGATCATTTGCTAAGCTCATTTCATTTGTCTTCCTCCAACTTTCTTGGGAAGTTGGAATAGTTGTTAAAGCAAATCCCAGGTATGTAATTTCGTCTGTAGATTCAGTACACATCCCTAACTGAATGACTTGTGTTTTTTTTAAGCACAATCACCATGAATGACACTAACTCTAATCCCACACCCAGTCCTCATTCACATCTCCATTTTTTTTAAAGGATGTCTTCTAAAATGGTTTTGTTAGAATTGAGATTCAGACAAAATTTTCATGAATTTATTTATTATATCTTTTGAGTCTTTTTTATTCTTTAACAGTCCCATTTTTTTTTTCCCCGTGGTGGTAATTTTTTTGAGAAACTACATCCACTTGTCTATTGAATGTCCCACATTCTGAATTTGGCTGATTGCTTCCTTGGTGTGGCTGTATAACTTGTCCCTCTGGCCCCCATATCTCCTGTAAGCTCAGAGTGAGACCCAGAGGCTTGTTTAATTCAGGTGCCATTTTCCGAGTTTGAGCATGTCCCAGTGGTGCTGTGTGTTCCAGTTGTGTGAGTCACATCAGGAGGCATATAACAAGCTTTCCCTTTTGGTTGATCAGGATTTAGTGCCTTTCTCCTGTTTTGATAGTCCTGTGATCTGCAAAAACTAGCCTGGGTGTGGGACCTCCCAGAAGTGCTCTAAGTCAGCGGCCTCAGACTGGAGTCTGTGGGCCTGAGAGCAGGTGGAGGCGAGCAAAGTCTTACACAGTCCACCAAGAGTGCCCACAAAATCGGTTCCCAGGTCCTCAGCTCTAGTTTTGTTCTCTTTCCCAAAGCTGCTCTGCCCGAGATGCCCTGACAGCTGATTTTCCTTTCCCAGGTTTCCTTACACAGTTGTCCCTTCCCATTTCGCAAAATAAAAACAGACTCTTGCCTTTTTTCCTTGTCCCGGGGTAGCACGGTCTCCCCCCGTGTTGGTGTCGGTGTGGAGAAAGTGCAGGATGCTAATCGCTAGTCACTAGGCACAAATCCTTGAGCAGTCCAGCTGCTGTCCTGGCCTTTGATGTGAATCTAATCAAATTATTAGCAGAGAGATCCTTACAAGTGATTTTCTGTGATGGAGCACAATGGGCTTTTGGGCCTGTCACTTGGAAAGGGTTCAAAGAACAAAATGACAATATTATAACAAACTATCTACTTTTTCCCATCTTCTGTTAAAAAAAACAAAACAAAACAGAAAAATATAAATAAATAGATGCCTAACTGTGTCTTTTTCTAGCAATGACTACTTAATATTTACCCACGGATATATGAATGAATTGAAAAAACAAGAGAAAGGCCTCATCCATGAAAATTTGCATCTCCAAGAATATTTTACTTTTTAATGTTTATGTATTATAACTTTGTTGTCATGAATCTATTCTCTACCACTAGTAGTTAATGGTAACTCAATCCAGGAAAATTGTTATTTAAGCAGTTAGAGTCCTAGGCTCACAGGAAGTTTTTAAAAATTTAATTGAAATGTATATAAATATATTAAAGGGATGTATGATAAAGAAATCAATAATAGACTTTCTAGCCTAAGATATGATGAGTTGCTCTAGGGTAAAAGTATGTGGGGAAATGTAATTAAGTACAAGTCAGAGAAAAAGGAACAATGTAAATTTTTTGATTTTTGAAGAAGAGCTTGCCTGTGCATCTTGGTGAGTATATAATGTAGCCCAAGGACAGAAAAGTGCATGAAACATAAACGCACGGTCTAGTTTGTATGAACTTTATTAGGTGGATAACAGTGCGAGTCAAATACCTGTGCTGTTTGGGTGCATATGAGTGACTGATCAAGCAGTTTTGTTTAAACGCATCAGTATTTATATGCCAGAAATGATAGCGTTTGCAACTCTGTAAACTTAGATGAAAGCCTTTTAAATGTCAAAGTCAAAATGAGTGCTAGGGTACCTAGTTTTTCAAAATTCTTATAGGGGGCGCACAGAACCTTTTTGTTCTGTGCTGTCTTCATGCTCCTGACCAGGCACTGAGGTGTCCTGTTCTAGTTTATACTCTTTTTAGACTGAAAGCATCTGTAAGATTTACATTGCCAAAGGCAAAAAAATAAAGGAAATGAAGAAATAAAAAGTGTATTTGTCTTCAAGACATGTAAGAATGAATTTGGGAGCATTAAAGCACAAACATTTAAGGTGTAACTCCCTTAAAAACATCATCAGACCAGTGTGTTATCAGGAAGATGTAACTTCTTTAAAAACATGATCAGGCCAGTGTATTATCAGGAAGATGTAACTTCCTTAAAGACATCATCAGGCCAGTATGTTAGCATGAAGACGTAACTTCTTTAAAAACATCATCAGACCAGTATATTATCATGTTTACTTAATTATGAGGATTTAAAATAGTTTTGCTTTTGATTTTTAAAGTAGTTGATAGGGAAAAGAAAAAGATTCTAAAAGTTATCTATATGTTTTTATGAGACTATAAAGCCATTTGCTTTTCTACAATTGGCCTTGAATGTGAGCTAGTTGTACCGAGGAACTCCTGGCAGGCCACCCAATACATAAAGTCCAGGCATGAGGTAGAAGGCAGGTGGGACTCAAACTCAGGAAAGCTTAGTGGTGCTGGTGACTAGAAGTGGGTTCTCACAAAAGTTTCCCAACCTAGAGAAGCGCAGTAGGGCCCAGGTGGCCTGAGCTGTAATAATTGCTTGTACTTACCACGGGATAATGGATATTTAATGTAGCTAATCTGTTGGCTAGGACAGTGGCTCCCAACCAGGGATGATTTTGTCCCCCAGGGTCCGTTTAGCATGTTGGGTTATCACACTTGGCATCTAGTGGGTAGAGGCCAGGAATACTGCTAAACACCCTGCCATGCACAGGACAGCCCCCTGCCCCCCAGCCCTCCCCCAGATCTTCCAGCTCCTGTGCCTGTGGTGCCACGCTGAGAAACCCTGGTCCAGAGAATTGTGATGTGTCATTTCTAGTCACAGAGTGGAATGCATAAAAATTCAGATGTTTTTAAAGTTAAAAAAGAAGAAAGCCCCCTTGGCTGTCCCCCTTGTTTTCCAGAGGTCACCAGGGTTAACCCTCTGCAGGAGCCTTGAAGGATTTATATTATTCGCTTACCAAGTGTAAGGACAGCCAAATGCACCATAATGCCCAGTATCTTGAAGACCCTGCTTCCTCCACAGAGCTCTGACATGTTCTGAATAAATATCTTGAAAAAGGGAAAACCAGCCTCAGTGGACTGGGGTCCTACTGTAATACCTTGCACAGCTGTAACATGTTTCTATACTCAGTTATACTTATGTTTATGCCCGTGTCGCGTGCATGCTGAAATCAATGCTGCAGCGACATACTTATACAATATATAATTGTGCACTGAAACAAGTGTTTCTGTAAGTGAAATTCCTAGTGAAATACACAAGGGTCATGTGTATTTTAAATGTGCTTAGCAATGTGTTTTATAGTTTTTTTTTTTTATTATTAGCAGGACCTTGGAAGAATTAATCAGTTCTTAAGCGACCCCTCTTTAAATCCATTTGCTTGTTTGTCTTCTGACTCCTTAAATCACTCTCCAAGTCTCTAGTAATCATCTTCCTCTTCTCAGTACTCTTGTCTGGCCTTGATCTTTGCCTGAGGCATGAAATTAATGGGGAGAAATGTTATCATTAAAAAAAAATAGCCATTTTTCCCTATTAGAGTCCTAGAGTAATGCAGCTTTAAAGCCGGAAAGACATGATAACTAATATTTATCAAGTCCTTACTATGTACAAGGTGCTCTGCCAAGCACTTTGTGGTCATCTCATTTAATTTTCATAATAGCTCTTTGAGGTGTATACCAGGTACTATTAGGTATCCCCACTTTGCAATGAAGAAATTGAGGCACGGGGATTATAAGTAAATTGTTCAGGATTATACTGTGAGCAGAACCAGGATTTGAACCCACATTCTGACTGTAGAGCTCCCCTTCTTAAACCACCGTGCCTTGTAGCTGATGTCTGGTCCAGCTGCCACTATTTACACACAGGGAACAAATCCAGAGAGAGCACATGGTTTATTCAGAACAGAAAGTTGCTAGGTAGGGTCACAGCAAGCACTTGAGAAGTCAGGGACTGCCAGCATTTAGCTGTGTGACCTTGGGCAAGCTCCTCAGTCTTCTTGGACCTCAGTTGACTATAATGAGAACTGAAGACATTGGACTGATGTTTCTTTAAGAGCTTCTTGGACCTGCACATTTCAAGGGGTGAGATCCAGCAAAAGTTAGCACGATCTTTTGTCACAAGGTAATTGTGAAGTGTTGTAGTTAGTTTTTGGCTTCATCTATTCACCTACCCCCTTTCCAGTGGTAAATTTAAACATGAAGTTGAATATATTTTTATCTGAGTGAGAAAGCGGTTGTCATCTCCGAAGATAAATGCCTAGATGAATTTGGAGAGGCTGAAACATTCAGGGTCACCACTTTAATTTTCTCGGCTCTGGTTCTGATGTCTCTTTTTGGTGAGGCTTCAACTCACGGAGGATCTCTAAATCAACCTACATTCTATCAAGGCAGAAGCACTTGCGAGGCCTAAATACGACCAGGAAAACTGCAGGAGAGAAAGACA